ATGTATATAAATATACATACAGGTGCATCTCAATAAATTAGAATGTCGTGGAAAAGTTCATTTATTTCAGTAATTCAACTCAAATTGTGAAACTCGTGTATTAAATAAATTCAATGCACACAGACTGAAGTAGTTTAAGTCTTTGGTTCTTTTAATTGTGATGATTTTGGCTCACATTTAACAAAAACCCACCAATTCACTATCTCAAAAACTCCAGAATTACTTTGCTAAGAACACAGCAACTGCTTGCAGGCATTTTTAGTGCTAATGGATCAAGGGTCAAATCAATTTCGAAAAATCAATGATTTAAACACTTTATCATAAAATAAAGCTACTACAAAAGTAATGGCAGAAACTGGTTAGTTGGCTAATCCTTTGAGCATTTTTCTCCATTCCACTCATCTCATTAAAGAGTCTCTGCCAGCTGAGGAACTATTGAATAAATGATAATGTTGCTGTTTTAACTGTCAATCATCACACAACTGTACTAGAGAGATAATTGCTCCTGGGGAGGTGCTTCAGGACTCCACAGCACTCAGAGCAGCCTCAACTGATGCTTTGCTAGGCAAAGACAACTCAGTTTCTGTAATGCCATCATTACCTGTATTTAAATATTACAGAACTAAAATCCCTGTTGTCCTGTTTTGTGTACAGGCCTGGGAAGAATCTGGGAACTTTTTTTCTGTATTTTGCACTGTGAGCTGTGCAAGCATCAGTTATGAGTAGAACTTTTTGGAAGAAGCACATCCAATTCTACTGAAATCTTTCAACCCTGATGGCTCCTTGACATATATAAATGGCCACAATAAACAAATGGTAAAGTCACTTAAAAATGTACCACTTCTTAAAACTATGCATGTTCTTTGAATTAATGTTGGTTACATATATTTGATATATTACAAAACCTTCAAGAAAAATTCACATTTAATAACTAAAAAATTACTTACACCTTTAATACATGTGAACATTTTAATATTACAAAATAAAACATTTAAAAATGTTTATCAAAGTAAAAAAAAAATTATATATATTTTTACAAATATTATCAAATATATTAAGAATTAAGAAATAAATATCATTAAATTTTTGTTAAGTCAAACATCACATTTTACAATCAGTAAATCAGACATGTATTCCCTATTTGGCCCTCTAATTCACAAACACCAAAAGACAAAGACATGAAGTGCCTGTCTAAAACACAATTGCCCATTTAGTTTTTTCCTGCATGTTGGCTGGGCCCCATGATTTTGATTTGTTAGACAATATCAAATGTTTCAAATATAATAAGCAGTAACGCAGTTGTTAAAAAAAAATTCTAAGGAATAACAATAATCAAAGATTGTGCCAAACAACTTAAGTTTTCTTTTCAAGAATTTCAATCTTTTAATGAGGCTTTTATCCTCATTATGACATCAGAACAGTAGTATCACCCTGACATTCTACACTCCAAAAATATAAAATAACTTCAAATTCAGAAATTTATTAAAAAAAAAATGTTTTTAAACATGCTCATCATAGAAGAGATATTCAAGTCACTGCATTATGAGTTTTTCCAAGTATTTAGAAAAAATGTATAGAAATCCCAACACAATGAGCATCACATCATTGTCCCTTATGCGATGTTCTGCAGGCACAGATGCTTGGCCTGTGATTTACAGAAGATTCTACTAGACTCACTTCAGCATGAACAAAACTTTAAAGCAACCGCACGTTCCCTAAGGCGGATGGGGAACAAAATGCATCTTCAAAATGTACCATGTAATAGGCTACGGCTACTGTACCAGACAGAAAAATCTGAAATCCACTTGCTTTGTGGCCCGCACTGATCGGACACATATTAAAGATAGTGAACACCTGGAAGCTACGGCTACTGTACCAGACAGAAAAATCTGAAATCCACTTGCTTTGTGGCCCGCACTGATCGGACACATTAAAGATAGTGAACACCTGGAAAAGGTGCCCAAACACCATATATCTCTGCTCACTGTGTCCTGCCCAATGGCTCGAAACAACATTTCTTATCAACCTGACTCAAACCTGGCCCATCCCAAGTTCAACGACACCAATCGCAAAGTGATTCAGCCCACTTCCATCATTTCTGTGGCTGTTCATGGTGGTCAGTTTCGACATTTTTTCCTCTGATTTTCTTGGCACATTTATTCTGCGCAGGAGTCTAGGAGAAGCCTCCCTTTTCATCAGCCAGAGAAAAGCTGTTAGCTCACTGAGAGAGAATTCAGGCCGACTACCTTCTCCATCAAGTGTGAGGGAGGACAAAGGAGGCAAGGAATGCTAAGGCTTCGTTTCTCCCTCACGGGGCATTGTTTTAACCATTATGGCCCTGCTTCCAAATTCGATACCCCAAAATCTACTCAATGGAAAACGATGATTGCATTGGAGGTATCAGGAGAATTCTGAACACTTCAACGCGGGAAGCGGCCTGGGCTGCTTTAACGAAATCCAAATGATAGTTATGGTGCATTTCAGCAATCAGCGATTAGTATGGCTGCTAGGGTGCACAGCAGAGGTCTGAACATGGAGGTGTAAAATAGTGCAAAACTGGCTTTGCTCCAATCCGAGGTTGGTCAATGTGCTTCTTTTGGTCCACGCTAGAGCAATGAGAGAAAAAGAGAAATGGAGAGAGAGCGCAGGAGATGTCGATATGTATCAGGTGATGCAGTAGCCAGAGGTATGGAGGCCCTTGGAGACTCTCTGCTGGATGGAGTGCCTGGGGCCATTTCCAGCCTCAGCAGCCAAGGATGTTGCAAACATGGGGAGGAGCGTGTAACAGAGTAACAGAATTACGCAATGATCTTAAAGTCCTGAACGAACGCATTCACAAACCTGTGATTCATCTCTGTACAGGATATCCAGTGAGAACAGCGACCTTAGAATATAGTGCACTGCATACCGAGTAGTACAGACGCAATACTGTATTTTGTATGCATTATTCAACGCTAACTATTTCAAACCATGGTATGATACACTGTTGTCACATGACCATGTTTAAATATGTCTAAATTAAAACCTGAGAAAGATAGGAACATTCTAAAAGGATAGTTCACCCGAAAATAAAAATTATGTCATCATTTACTCATCCTCATGTCATTCCAAATGAGGTTAGTTCTTGTGTGACAAGCAAGTTTCGTGTTTAGCAGAGTTGATGTGCTCGATGTGCATCGATCAATGTTTTTATTTAGATAAAACCTTAAATTAAATCTGTTCATCATATAAAGAGATTGTGTCTCTTCAGAAGACTTGGATTAAACCGCTTGATTCATATGGATTACTTTTACAATATCTTTATGAACTTTTTGAAGCATCAAAGTTTTGGTTGCGTGGACTTTCAATGGATGGACAAAAATTATGAGAGAATATTGAAAATATCTTCATCTTCAACAAAAGATTTATAGGTTTAGAATGATGTGGGTGAGCAGATAATGACAGAATTTTCATTTTTGGCTGAACTAGGCTATTCCTTTAAGAGATGGTAGAGATGGTCATTTTTGGCAGATATTGCTCCAGTTCAATTGCAAAACTGCAAATGAAAAGTTAAGTCAAGCGCATTGCATTGTGGAATGGATACTGTATGCTTGTATACTACACGTTCACAAATGTAGTAGACGATCCAGATATTCTATAAACACAAAACATTTGAATACTGTATACAGTATACGTCACACATCAGGAAAATGTTTAAACAGAAACATCCAGGGCGGAAAACAAGAATTTGAGGACAGCTGGGCTGCCGAACAGATTTGTGAACCACAATTGGTGTAAATTCCCTCGTATTCCTCCTCATCAAAGATCAGCTTTTCTTCAGGTTAGACCAAGTTCATCAGCTCCCAAAGCCCAATACACTCATTATACCAATAATTACACACTGGACACTGTAAGCACACATTCATTCTCCCTAAATCAGCATAGCCGGGATCCTAATGGATAATTGATACCAACAGCTTCCTGAGCCAAATGCAATCACTGGAAGGGATGGATAACCCAAAAATGAAACTTCTGGCATCATTTATTCACCCTTATGATGTTTCAAACCTGTATGACTTTGTTTCTTCCGCAGAACACAAAAGGAGGCAGAATCACCATTCATTTGAACTGTATGGAAAAAGCAATGAAAGTGAATGGTGACTGAGGCTGTCATTCTGCCTAACATCTCCTTTTATGTTCTGCGGAAGAAAAAGTCATGCAGGTTCGGAACATCATAAAGGTGAGTAAATGGCACTTTTTTTTCTTTTTTTGTGGGGGGGCGAACTGTTCCTTTAAATAGCCTAGGTACCTTAGCTTCAGCCATAATAGATAATTCAGGTAATTACAGATAATTGTGAACCCCTTTTAAATGTGACCCAGATTTATAACAACAGCAGTGCATTACTGACATCTTTCTTCTTTATTTTGAGCACATACATCTCAATTAAGTTCATTTTTGTTCTCCTTTTATACACTACAGCTTCTCCATGACCACTGGACTCAATCTACTGGCTTTACATCTATGTGCCAAAACTTTCTCCCTCCATCCATTCCATCCAATATCTATAAAAAGTCAATTACAAGACAAAGACTTCACACTGTACCGTCCTCTCTCATTAAAACAGCGTGTTTCCGACCCGTCAGGGTGTCTTAAGTGAGGCGTGCGGCTCAAACTTTAACTTTAAAAGCTCAAAAGCGTCTCTTCTGTGTAAAATGTCTGAGTTTGTTACTAAGACTCGATGACATTCGGACGCGCTAACGTTACATCGTGCTAACGGCAATAAATGTTGCGCCAGTTAGTAGTAAAAACATTCTCGTGGGTCCCGAAACGAGAGTGTTCCTCTTCATCTCGCTGTACGCTATCACCATCATCATCCTCTCACTGTAGTCCTACAGTACTTTAAAACATAAAAGAGGAAGGACAAACCTAAAACTGCTAAGCCTTGTTGCGAAAAAGCATGAACGAGAGCGACACACAAAAAAGGGCACAACATTTTTTTTTACCAAGCGTGATCTCTTACCTCCGACCCGGTACATGTTGGCTGCCATGACTGCCCCCGGTCCTGCCTGGCGTCTCCAGGTAGGGCTTTCTCTCTCCGCCGCCGCCGCTGAGTGCTGTGCGCTGGAAAATGGTGGATTGATCAATACGAAGCGGGCCAACGAAGGGATCTTAAAGAGACAGTGCACATATTTTTATGCAGCCGCGTTCTACGGGGCGGTGTAAGTGATCGCGCTCAGAATCACCCGCGTGTTTAGGAGCACCTTCCCAACAACGCGGGATCCTGGAGCAGTGACTCGGGCCACGGGCTGGAGAGAGCGCCAGAGGGAGGGGAAGGGGGTCTGTATGGGCAGCATCACTCGCGTTTCCCCGCCTACTTCAAACGACCGAACCATTCCTGTACTACTTTGGACCCACTAGAGGCGAAATGAAACAAATAAACAACTGTTGCTCTCAGACTGAGTTTGAAACAAAGATAAACAAACAAGTAGCCTATAACAGAACAAGGAAAGACATTCCTCTCTGTGGAGAAACATTAACTAGAATAACTTAGAAGAAAATGCGAAAAGGTGCTATCACAAAGTTGGAGCTGAGAGTCCAAACCTTGCTGTGTCTAAATAATGTTCTGGTGGTGACATTTGGCTGGGCCACGTTGCAATATGGTTGCTAGGGTGTGTGGCTGGTTGCTAGGGCATGGGTAGGAAGTTGCTATGGTATTAGAATGGCTGCTTGTTGGCTTGAGTCGAAAAGTAGGATCAAATGTCTGATATGCTTCTTTTTCAAAGTTAAATCTATGTTTTGTTTTTGTTTTTTTTCTTCACAGAGGCTTTGTCCGGAAAAAGAACAGATTCGTAAACCAGAATATGTGTAAATTCACTCGTAGCGGTTCTAATCAAAGATCAGCTTTTCCTCAGGTTAGATTGCATATCGTGTTGTTTTGCATTGCTTTGCTTTGTTTTTTCTACCAGCCAAACAGCATTAGTCTTTCCATAATACGCAGAGGTTTTGTCTGGAAAAAGAACACTAGATTTATGAATTCAGAAAAGTCCCTTACTTGCCGAGCATTATCATCTGAAAATGCATAGTGTATGAAAAGCATATGCCTAAATTCAAAGTATTCATAAAACAAAAAAGTAACTGGATGACCTTCTACTTATGTCAAGAAGTGCGTATCTGATGGACGCTTTACTGTCCCATGAGGCCACAAATGTAATATGGATCTCACTCATATTACATACATTCATACTATATAGCACATACTTTTTTAATGGTCGCAAAGTAAGTTCTTATTAAACTACAGTATCTGTTCAGATGGTATGTGATTTCAGACACAGCTAGGGGATTGTGGCAAGGATGATGGATTCGATGTTGAAAAGATCAGCAGTTGCTTACCAATATATGTTGTGTTTCAAATGATATAGTCTTTCCAGTAGGCCCCTTAACTATCTTAACTAGCAAGACTTCCTTGGTCAATCAGCTTCTTCACACAAGTTTAGTTGGTCTCCAGCATGGCTCTGCTGTTCAGCCAGCTAGACTAATACCAAGCCAGCAATACCCAGAATAAATAAGCTTGGATGTGAGTAGAAATCTTATTCCACCTGAATAAATCACTTAACAAAGAATATTTATTGTCCAACACCATCATTATTAACTAGGCTTTTCACATTAAGCTTAACTGTGCGTTAACATATTTTAGTAATCCCTGGTTGAGGCCACTTTTAACCCTGGATAACATTTCATTAACAGTTGTAGCACTTCTTTAACCACTTTCAAGGTGTACAATGTGATACATTCAAATAGGATTACATTAGCCAAGGCTTAAAAGTGACTCTGGGTTAACATGTTAATGAGTGTGAAAAACCTAATGGAGAGGTCATCTTGTGGAGTTAGTGAAGATGTTTTTAATGACTACCAAAAGAGTATACTTTCAGCCTGAAGAGTCTTCTGGTACATAATAAAGAAATGTGGTAGTTCCGAGCAAGTAGTCTAAACACTGGTTGACAGTCACTAAACCAAATCCAAATCCTGTTTTATTTATTTGTTCTCTAGCCTTGGAATACGCTCAAAGTCTCGAAAGCCAGTTTATAATTATACTTTCCCTGCGTACACAACTACAAAGATTTAGCCTCTTCTAAGTTTGGTCAGAGGGAAACGTAAAACACTGCTTTTCAGAAGTCATTGGGTGGCACATGTTCCAGGATTTTTACACATTGAATGAGTCAACATGTGAAAACACAAACAATAGACCCTTAAACCAGCAAGAGACACTAAAATTATGAGACCTCTAGTACTACTCATGCTCAGAAAAGTATCGCATACATAATAAACTGTCCATGAATTAATCTCACTCAAAATATGAGAATGTTCACTAAAATTATGAGACCTCTAGTACTACTCATGCTCAGAAAAGTATCGCATACATAATAAACTGTCCATGAATTAATCTCACTCAAAATATGAGATATATATATGTATGTGCGTGCGTGTGTGTGTGTTAACAAAAAAATAATAATACAATTTTAAATACACTTACAACACATCCATGAAGGACTTATTCAATATTACATACATACACATCCTTAAATATAAAATATATTTAAAAAGATAAGTATCACTTTGTGCCTAATTGATTAATGTTGTTATTCTTTCACATTCAAAATTAAAAAATGAAATAAATTTTGGACCAAATTCTATAATAATTATCTCATCTAATAATTCATAATGCAATTATCTACAAATCAAATAAGATTCCTATCTTTCAGTTTATTTAACTAAATGTTAATATATTCAGTCGGATAGAGAGAGAGAGAGAGAGAGAGGACTGTCATTTAATATATTTAGGATTGATTTCATTGTATAATAGAAATTAGTTTTTATTTGTGCAATTTTTAACATGTATAACATTGCAAACTACATCACTGACATAAACGTTTTGAAACACCACACAAGGACACTGCTACTCAATTCTATGTTCAAAAAATACAAACTCACACTGGTACATAGATATGACATACAAAAATAGATCAAGAATAAACAGGACTGTCTTTAGGGGGACAACCGTGATATATAACCCATTCATTAGGCCCAAAGGAGGGGGACCCATGAATATAAACAAATAAATATAAAGATGATTGTGAATCAATTAACAAAACATATGTGACTATAAACCCTTCTGACTATTTAGATGAGGCTTGACATGTGACAAGGCATTAATAATGTAATTTTGGTGGAGAAGATTTTGGGGGAGGTGAGTGGGATTTTGTGAGCGCTGGATTGGCGTGGAATGGTAGGGCACCTCATGTTTGGTGGTTGTTGTTAGGGAAGGCAGAGTGGAATGCTGTGGTGAGTAGCTGATTTACACCATATGAAAACCTTACAAACCGAGCTCTGCCTCAAGCTGTAATCTGCAATCACATGACCGGCCTCAGCCAATGGCAGGCTTCGATTTACCCTCTGTGGAGACTCACAACAAAGCAAGCCCATACTGCTGATTTGTGTGTGTGCCTACGTATTTATTCATAAATATGTGTGTTTTTGGACTTCAAACTGAAGCAATCAAATTGATCTCAATATGCTGAAGCTGTTATCATGTAATGATTCTGAAGTAGCCTAATGGTAATTTGCTGCAGTCTATACCCAGGAATAAAAGCCTCTAACAAGCAGTAGAAGGTTTCTGGATTCTTGCACTCTGTCTCTCGATCTTCTTTGCTCTCGCTAGCTGCTCTCGGCAGAGCCCCAGCTGGCCTTCTCCCAGGGCCCTTGCTCTAGCACAGCAGGCAACTGCTAGAGAAACAGAAGAAATCAATTAAAGTGTGTGGCCCGATCAAGCTCCGTCTTTTCTTGTGTTCTTTTTATTACAGACTTAATTACAGTTCACAAATATTATAACCATTGTCCTCAATCCATGGCTGTGACTGTGAACCTGGGTCCAGTGCTCTTAGAACCTGCACAGAGGGAGGGCTGCTGATCAGTTTCATGCAGTTTGCTGTATATAGACACACGCACACAAGTACACAAATGAAACCTCTGCATGGATCAGGTGTAAAGGACTTTCGATCAGAAATGCTGGTGAAAGAAACAGAAAGAAACCCAGAAACAGAAGTGCTTGTATAATGGACACCAAGATTTATTGGTACAGTACATCAAAACAGACAAACACTTGTGCAGATCAAATGAGAAGACATCTGATCATTTTATAAGCATAAAATGGGAAATGACACTTACATAATCTGTCTGGGGCTTGTTGCTGACCATTAAATCTGCTTTTTTTTCTACTTTATAAAAAAATAGTAATATTATAAATGTTAGTCTTGGTATCTTAATGCAAATTCTATAATATGTAGTATTAGGCCGTAGCAAAATATTACGTTTGAGACTGAATGAAGACTGAATGATGTGTACTGAAATATTTTGTACTGATCTGTGTCTTAAATGATTATTGACAAATATAAAATCTGAAATAATTGTATACCTATTGTATTTTCTTGCATTTCTAAGCATTTTCTCTAAGCCTAGTAGAGAGGATTCATGCACAAAATTCTTAAAATCTGGACTGAAAACCTTATAGATGATATAAGGTTATTAATAATGTCTGGAGGGCTGTACAAAGATGTTCACAAAATAAAAGGGCGCCATTCTGACTGTCACCAGATGGCAGCAATATACTATAATTTTGCATTAGGCCTACAAAGGAAAATAAATGAAAATATCTTAAACAACAGAGAAGGAATGATGCAGTTTGCCTCTAAGATATGACTTCAGCTTTCTTCTTATATCACAAAAAGCATTGTTTGTGAGTTCTGCCAGTGTGCTGTATTCATATGCACATTCTACTACTGATCAGCAGGGGGCGCAAGTAAACCATCTTTAACCCTTGTGTTGTGTTCTGAACACTATCACACTTACGATGTTACAGAGCAAAAAGGACCCGACCACCACATGAGGGTTAATCACATGTCTTTGTCCACACGTGCTCGCTACAGAACAAAGTGTACAATGTGAGTCCTCAGAACACAGCAGCACCGATACCGCTGACAGAGGAAGTGACACCCAATTAATTGGCTCATCTTGCCTCTTTCACAACACATCAGAAGATTAGATTTGGGCCTGATGACATATTTTGTCAGAGCAACCCCGGCGCTGACCTCATCTCATGCATTTTGTAGTACAAAGCTTTTCTTTCCGGAACTATCGTTTTCCTCTTCCTGTTCTCTGTGTTGTGGCGTATTAGATTAGAAGAGAAAATTGTGTGGCGTTGTAGATGTGATAAATGTGTAGGCTACGTGTTTGTGCCTTTCATGTGTGTTCGTGTGCACATTCATCTGGTTTAGAAATAGTGTGCTTGATAGAAGCAATGGCCTAGTGCTCTGACACTGAGTAGGT